TTTACTCCTGTACAGGTGAGATTTATGGAGGTTAAGTCATTTGTCCGGGGCACACAGCTGGTCAGTGGACATCTCGGGACGAAATTCTAGGCCTCTGTGATACTGAGGCTCATCGTACTTGTAGTAAATCGTTCATCACACTGCCTTTAACTTTGGAACTGTACGTTGTTCCCATAGTAGGTGAGGAAACTGAAAGCAGAGAGAGATTGTGACCCAACCCAAGATTGTACAGCTAGTCTGACTCTATCTACAGTCATTTTGTTTCTTGTCCTACTAACTCCTAAGTCCAGTGACCTCAAGAGTGGCCAGACGGATTCTGCCTTTCCAGCACCACACATCCAGTTATTAACATTGTCAGTTTGGGAAGAGCAGGGAGATTGATGGGTGAAAAAAGCTGGAGAGAGGGGAAGAGCCAGGAAAAGCTTTTTAATAGTAAATGCACATCTCCCCTGACCACTGCCTGATTTATCACAACACCATCTTCTAGTGTACTTTGTACTTTCTCATTTATCCTAATAATTTCCACAACCAAACTGTAAGCTCCTGAGGGGAAATTTGAGTTTGTTTCTGTTCCCCTACTGCATCCCCAGCACCTAGAACAGTCACTGGTAGCACATGGTAGACACTCAGCAGACATTTGTTGCATTGAGAAAATGTGGGCCAAATTTTAGTGGAGTCTGGGATACAGAGAAAGAAGGCTGTCTTTCAAAATGGTCCTCATTCCATATAAACCAGGAGTTACAACACCGCATTAAAACATCAGACTAAGAGGAGGGTTTTTCATAGAAGCTGTAGTGGCAGAGGGCTCCACTGGGCCCACAACAACAAGGAGAAACTATGGAGTTTCTTCCCTGGAAGAAAGGAAATGTAGATTGAGCAGCCAGTGCTACCGCACCTTAACCCATCCCCTGCTGCCCCTCCCCAGCTGTCCATGCTGTTCACAGAGGAGTGCGACAAGGTGCGGGATCTGATGCACGTGCACTCCTTCAGCTATGACTTCCACCTGCGCCTCGTGCACCAGCATGTGCTGGGCTCCCACCTGGTCCTGCGGCATGGCTACCACCTTACCACCTTCCTGCGCCACTTCCTGGCCCACTACCCTGACGGACCTCACTTCGGCCGCAATCACATTTACCAAGGTTGGTGCCCAAGGGCGAGGTAGTGAGGCCAAAAAGGAACAGACTGCAGGGTATCTCCAGGCCACAGCTGGTGGGAGCACCTCCTGGGCAACCAGTCCTCCTAACCATTCTGTCACTCATGCCTTGTCTCAGTACTTCCTTCCTGTGACTGTCCCTGTCTTCAGTTCTTCACAGTCAGTTTCATGTAAGGTTTGGGCCTCATGTCATGTGTACCGTGCCCTCTGCTGCTCTGAGCCACTTTCATGCCATTTGCTATGCTCCCTGAGGAGCTCCCCAGGAAAGCTGAGCCACTCTGTCTGCCAATCAGAGCCTTAGTGCCCGCCCCCACCCCCATGAGGACGCCTGTCCCACACCTGCACCTGCTGTTTTCTTTACCTTGCCCCTCAGGGACGCTGGAGCTCCCCACACCACTCATTGCTGCCCACCAGCTATACAACTATGTGGCTGATCATGCCAGCTCTTACCACATGAAACCACTGCGTATGGCCCGCCCTGGGGGCCCGGAACACAATGAATATGCTCTGGTGTCAGCGTGGCATAGGTAAGGCTGGGAAGGGCATCCAGCACACACACCAGTGGGGCTGAGGATGGGGTCACACTTGCAGTAGGGAGACCCGTGTCTTCCTCAGCAGCAAGGGTGGGGTTGGTTTCCTTAAAACCTCAGAGCTGACATTTCCCTGACCCCTGCTGCACAGCTCTGGTTCCTACCTGGACTCCGAGGGACTTCGCCATCAGGATGACTTTGATGTGTCTCTGCTTGTCTGTCACTGTGCCGCACCCTTTGAGGAGCAAGGAGAAGCCGAGCGGCACGTTCTGCGGTCAGCAGATTCTCCACCCTGACCGCACCCATTTCCCAGCCCTCCCCCTGCTCTGCCCCTGCATGTCTGCTGCTGTGATCCCCACACTCCTGCTCCCCCTCATACCAGGCTGCAGTTCTTCGTGGTGCTCACCAGCCAGCGAGAACTCTTCCCCAGGCTCACCGCTGACATGCGCAGGTTCCGGAAGCCACCCAGACTGCCCCCTGAGCCAGAGGCTCCTGGGAGCTCGGCTGGCAGCTCTGGGGAGGCCTCCAGCCTTGTGCTAGACCCCGGACCAGCTCCCCTGTTCCCACCACTGGCAGCAGAGGTGGGCATGGCACGGGCACGGCTGGCTCAGCTGGTTCGGCTGGCTGGAGGGCACTGCCGTCGCGACACCCTCTGGAAGCGCCTCTTCTTGCTGGAGCCACCAGGGCCTGACCGACTGAGGCTAGGGGGCCGCCTGGCTCTGGCAGAGCTGGAGGAGCTCCTCGAAGCAGTCCATGCCAAATCCATCGGGGACATAGACCCCCAGCTGGTAAGGACTGTGGGCTCCAGAACGGGTGGTGTGTGGGATGGGTGCCAGAATTCCACAGGTCTGGCACAGCAGATGGAGACCTGTGGCCCTCTCCCAGGAGTGCTTCCTGTCTATGACCGTCTCCTGGTACCAGAGCCTGATCAAGGTTCTCTTAAGCCGCTTTCCCCAGAGCTGCCGCCATTTCCAGAGCCCGGACTTGGGAACTCAGTACTTGGTAAGTCCCCCGAACCTCCTCTAAAAGGGGAAAAGCAAAAATCTTCATCAGACATGACAGATGTTCCCCTCTAGGAGCCCCAGCTTGACCAAACAGGCTCTGCCCTGGAGTGTGACCTAAATAGAATGGGACTGCACAGACATGGTAAACCTTCGGGCCCCAAGCACCACGGCCCAGCACATGATTTGTTGAGAATTCACTGAGAGCTTTGCACTTAGGCTCACCGAGAACACACACTTTGGCTGGAGATCCTGGGGGCCGAGCTCTAGAACTGGCAACCCAGGAGCTCTTCAAACTTCATCACAGGCTGGAGTTCCACAAGAGAGCTCTGGGCTTTAATGCCTGGTTATTCAGGGTTTCATTCTCAGACCAGCAGTATTACTTAGGAGTTTGCTAAGATGCAGACACTCAGGCCCTGCCCTACACTAACTAGAGATCTGCAGGTTAGCAATAGCCCCAGGTGATCTGTGTGCACATTAAAGTTGGAAAACACAGCCGTGAGGGATAGGTAGAAAAAGAGCTACAGTGGCAGGAGAGAATTAAAGAGACCCGAGATGGGCCCGGTGAGAGCTGTGGTTCAGGAGAGGAGGTGCTCAAGAGAAGACTGCAAATGAGGGTAGGAGTTGGAGCCTGGTAAGGGGCCAGCAGCACAGTGCTTGAGGGGAAGATTTGTCTCCAGTTTATAAAGGGTCATCCAGAGAACTGAGGTGTTAGAACAAGGCTGCGGTGGTGCGGGCAGTTGTTGAGGTGCTCCAGCACTGTGGGAATACAGGGGTGGGTTTAGAGAAGAGCGGTGGGTTCAGCTTGGGACAAGCTGATTCTAAGGCCCATGGGGACTTTCACTGTCTAGATACGTGAGCGTTGAGGACTGAAGCTCAGGAGAGAGCTTAGGCAGCAGCCATGTGAACAGGGACTGAATGAAGCCTTGGCAGAATCCCAAAGCTGGAAAGCGGGGGACATTTCAGGGAGCTCAGAGAGGGGCTGTGCAAGGGTTGATAACCTCACTTTGTTGACCAGCATCAGTGCCTGGCTCAGGGCAGGCTGACTGGCAAGGCAGCAAAAATGCAGCCTGAGGCTCAGTTTGGAGACACAGTACTGAGTGACCTGGGTATGCAGGTGGGCACGGGTGTGGTGGTGGAAAGAGGCCTTTGCTCGTCCTCCCATGTCTACCAGCTGCCCAGCAGGAAGGTCTGTGCCACCTCAGGTGAGGCAGACCTCATTCTCCATCTCTTTTGCGCTGTCACTGCAGGTGGTGCTGAATCAGAAGTTCACTGACTGTTTTGTGCTAGTGTTTTTGGACTCCCACTTGGGAAAAACGGTAAGAATAGGGGCCTTTGTGTCAGCTTAGTGGGAGGCTGTGACCCCATCTCCACTTCAGAGCCTGCTGGGTCAGGGTGCCCACTCTTCTTGAACCCCACTCCCTGTGCCCAGCCCTGGCCTCCTCTGACCTCTGCACCCCACCATGTTCCCCCAGTCTCTGACGGTGGTCTTCCGAGAGCCCTTCCCTGTACAGCCTCAGGATAGCGAGAGCCCCCCTGCACAGCTGGTCTCCACCTACCACCACTTGGAGTCCGTCATCAACACAGCCTGTTTCACCCTCTGGACCCGCCTCCTCTGAGGAAGTGAACCACTCAGTGTCACTGCTTATTGAATCATGGATCTGTAAGCTTGTCCATTTGTGGCAGGACTGACCTGGGCCCCAGTGAGCTTTGACACTGGGTGACACCAAAGGCTGTGTGACTATGTCTGGGGATGTGCTGCCACAGCCTGACAAGGACTGCCCTCCCGAACACTCACCAGCCCAGGACTCCAGAGGTTCGGGTCAACTCTGAGGAGTCCATCCCTGCTCGGGCCCCTCCGCCCTTCCAGAAGGGGATGACTCCTTCCTGTCCACCTGGTGGCATCCTTACAGTTCTTCACACCAGGTGGCAGGCACTCACCCCTTAAGCACTACCTGCATCCTCCCTTCCAGTCTTTGGTCACTGTCAGCCATGTGCCCCCTTAGCCCTCTAATCTTCATTCATACTTGGACACCACTGCTGGACATTCCCTTTGAGATAAGAACCTTGCTTCCAATCCCAGCTCCACCTTTGAAGCATGTGTGACCGGTGTCAAGCCCTTTTACTTATGGACCCTTGCTTCCTCATCTGTGAATGAGGGAGGCTCAAAAAGTTCTCCCATCTCCACAGCAAAACCTGGCACCAACCAGAAGATTGGAGCATGAGCTATGTACCCCTTCTCAATGGCAGGAAAGCAACTCAGAGAAACTGAAGCGTTAGGGGTGTGTGTCCCCCCACTCGTACAATAGACACATATGAAAGTATTCCACAAGGCATCTTTAATTCAGAGGAGATGCAGATGCTCACTGTCCCAGAGCGGTGGGTGGTATGCAGGACCTCACTCGCCAGCCCGTGGGCGGCCCCGCCTATCCCAATATGAATGGAGCCAACTCAGACCCTCTACTGTGTCTCCTGCAGGGAGAGAGAGGCAGTGGCATCTCAACTCACAGGGAAAAAAGCCCCTGTCTAATGGCATTCCCTCCAGATCCCTTTCCCAGGGCCAAGCCTGGAGCCTCACCTTGAGGCCGATACTCGCAGCCCACAAAGCCTTGGTAGCCTTCATCTTCCAGCAGCTGGAATAGGTAGGGGAAGCACAGCTCCCCAGGACTGCCTGGCTCCCCTCGGCCCGGGACCTGTGCTATCTGCACATGCCCTGGGGACAGATGTGGGGAGACAAGGGACAAGGCTCCCATTGAGGCCTGAGGGACAGTGGAGGCTAAAAGGGTGTACAAGGAAGCAGAGCAGACCAGCAAGAAAAAGGAAGGGAGCCCCCTCACCAACAATGGGCAAGAACTCCCGGATGTTTCCCGTCAGGTTCCCATCCATGATCTGCCAATGGAATATGTCCTAGGAAAGAATACTACAGTCAAACCCCTCAGGGCCTCCCCCCCCCCAACCCCATTCTTCCCAGATTTGAACAAAATGGGTGGAGAAGTACCTCTGTTCCACTCACCATTTGTAGTTGGAGGTTGGGTCTTCCAACCTTCTGTAAGATGGCTGCCGCTGGGGAGAAGCCACAGAGTGGGCTGTGAGACAAGGAGAGCACAAGAACCAAGAGGGACAGGAGACAGGGCTGGGGTCCTACCCTGCTGGGGTGTGTCCAGGAAGTACCGAGGGTCAGTGATTCGGGTGTTAATGGGCTCCAGCAATCCCACGAGGTTCTCCTGGCACCATGTTGGATGCTGTGAATAAAGCTCCTTCCCAGGTTTGTCTCTCCTCAGTCACTGGCCTTCTGCCCAGCTGTTTGCCTCATCTACTCTCCCTGCTGTGTGCCCTCACACACACAAGCATGTGTCCACCTCTCACCTGAGCCAAAACCTCAGCTGCATGCCTCAGGTTCTCCAAGAAAACTGTCTCCATCTCGCTCCTGACTGCTGCTGGGTCAGCCCCCTGGGGTACTCGGCCAGCCATCAGGTGGATCCTGTGAGGAAGATGAGACTGTAGGCCACATGCCCTTGGCTCAGTATGTGCCCCTAGCCCAGCCAGCCCTCACCTGGCTCTCGCTCCTTAGTCTGTTTCACGTGGGCACCGCTGCTCAGGGATCCCAGAGCCTGACGCTCCTGTCAGCCCAGGCCAAGTCCTTTCCTGGGCACCTTAAGTCACCCCATCCTCTTGGCTCAGGGACCTCAGTCCATTACTCAGCCTGTCCTATGCTCTCCACCAAAAATGTCCTTTCCTTAGTCCTCAGCCTATAAGCATGCTTCAGTCTTGCATTTTAAAAGTGTTTTGAGCCATGACCTTCTTGGGCACTCCATGCTGCTTGCTTCTACTTCCTCTCAGGTTTCTTAGCCTCTTCCCATCTGTTTTCTGCCCCACCACTCACCACGCAAGTAATGACCCCCTTGTCAGTTCCTTCTCAGCAAATCTAATTGACCTGTGCAGGGCTTGACATTTGCTCAGTCCTGCTTTGCAACTTCCACCTCCACCCCATCACCTGATCCCATTCGGCCACATCCCAAGTTCAAACACTTTCTAGGAATTCAGGCCCTCCCAATCCCAACAGGCCACATCTCCAGCCTTCGAACCCTGCCTCTGCCCCCAGCATCCTTGCAGATGCCCACTCCACTCCGCTCAAGCATCCACCTGTAGCAGTTTTCTCCTGACTCAGGGCTAGAGCCACCCCACCCCGGCAATCCTGCTCCAGCAGCTTTCCAGTCGCCGGTGGATCACTGACTGTTTCGTTAGTGCGGCCCTGGTCAGTATGAGCTCCCAGCATGGGGTCAGCACGAAAGCTTGGCAAACAGATAAAACACAGAAGGCAATTTACAGAGGACCGGGACTACAGGGGTGGAGGAGGGCAAGTTCTTCCAGGCTCCTGAGCCTCAGAGCTGGGGGCGCCCTCTTGCTGACCAGCAGTCGCACAGAGCGGGGTCACGGTCCGATACCTGGGGCAGCCCAGAGCCTTGGCGTACAGCACCGCCTTCTCCAGCCCCTCTCGGAAAGCCGCCTGCCTCCCAGGCACGGCCCCCAGCCCCATCTCCCCCTTCTCTTGGTCTCCTGCGGAGAGAACGGGCCTCATTAGCGGCTCGGGCGCGCCGTGCCCCCCGCGCCGCCCTGCCCCGGCCAGTCTCGGCCCGCCGCGCACCCGGGGGCGTGTTGATCAGCACCAGATGCAGGCCTGCGTCCCGCGCGGCGCGCTCCAGCGCCTCGGGCGGCTCCGCGTACGGCCAGGCCACTTCGGCGGCCTCGAAGCCCGAGCTGCCCGCGGCCCGGAGCCGCTCGGGAAGGCCGGGGAGCTCGGGGAACAGCCAGGACAGATTGGCCGAGAAGCGGAGCGGAGCCATGGCCAGGCCAGGCGGGTCCGGGGCGGGCAGAGTCCAAGAGCACCGGAAGGCGGAAGGGGGCGGGGCGGAAACCTGCGGCTTGCCCTCCGGGTAAACGGGAACGGTTTTGTGCTTAGAAAAGCGGTGTGTTACAGAGAAGGGCCTTCTTCCCGCGGGAGAGGCGACAGGGCGGGGAGAGGCCTGCGGGACGCGCGGAGAAGAAGGGGGAGCCGAGCGCGCCCTGGCTGGGAGCTGGGGAGGAAAGTGGGCTTCAATACTTCGTATTTCCCTTAGGTTTAAAGTTCTCGAGGGCCGGGGATATAGTTCAGTGGTAGAGTTCCTTCCTAGCGCTTCGGGGAGCGAGGGTAAATGAAAAGATCCCTTCATTAAGGAACATTTGGAAACTGATTAAAGAGCTCGTATAGCACCAATTAACACACTAACCCGTTAGCTTTTACTTACAGATTAAAAAATAAACATGCAAAAATTTTTTCTTGGAAAATTCTGATCAATGTTGTATATAGTTTTATAAACTTTTTTTTTCAAGTAGTATTTTGTGGGCATTTCCCAGTGTTCTTCGTGTCTTCAAAGTCATTGTGTTAGTTGCTCCTGGTCGGACACCTAGAGAGCCCATGCGTGTATCATCCAAGTCTGGACAGCTTTAGTGCGTGTGTGTGTACGCGCGTGTGTACGGGCACTGTAAGAGCTCGTTAATGCACCTCTTGGTCCCCATTTCTGTTTTTTCCTTTAGAGTCCTTTTCTGGAGATGCCCATTATAGCGTTTGCCTTTCCTCAGTGTTTGTTTGCCCTTTGTAGGGGAAACTGCCCCCAGCACTGTTTTCTGCACGGAGAATCTATGGGCTGCTGTCCCCTTTTAGTCTTAGCTGATTGGCCCATGATCCCGGGCAGCCAATCCGTAGATAGGCCAAAGACCTTTTACTTGCATGGTTTGAAAGATAATCTGGCCAATCAGATTCTCCTATCAAGAGCTCAAACAAGGAAAAGGGGACAGTCAAATTAAGAGGTGGTCTTGGCCAGAAGATGACTGGGGCTGTAGAAACTAAGCAAGAGTAAGGGCCGGGGATTTAGCGCAGTGGTTTTGCCGCCTGCCGCGCAAGCTCAAGGACCGGAGTTCGATCCCCGGTACCAAAAAAAAAAAAAAGAAACTAGGCAGGAGTTAGCTGGTAAGGGCAATCTAGAGCAGAGAGGAGGGTAACAGTTCTGTCGAAGAGGTAGCACATGGACAACACCTGCTATCTCAGGGCTGCCCAAACCCACAGCTGCTCCCAGGTCTGTGCACCTCCCCAAGGCTGGAATGTGCCCACTTTCTTGTTTTCACCATCTGTATAGCTTCTTGATGTTTCTTCTTGATAATCTGAATTTTTGCATTCACTGACACTAATTCAGCGAGCAGATACTTACAGGTAGAATTACGTGGCTGTAAAATAAGAAAAAATATGTTAACATCTTCATGGATATGCTAAATTGCTTGGCAAAAATGAAAATTTAGGGCTGGGGATTTAGCTCAGTGGTTTCACTGCCTACTGCGCAAGCACAAGGACCCGAGTTCAATCCCCAGTACCAAAAAAGAAAGAAAATTTATACTCCAAACCATGAATAGAAGTCATCTGATCTATTTTCTGTGCAAATGTTGACAGAAGATCAAAATGCATCCAGCACTTCTCTTCCACCATTTGTTCTGTCACTGCTCAACCCCTTCCCAAGTCAGGTCTGCTTGGCTGGGCATGGTGGACCATGCCTGTAATCATAGCACTCAGGAGGCTAAGGCAGGAGGATTGCCACAAGTTCAAGGGCAGCCTGAACTACATAGTGAGACCCTGTCTCAACAAAACAAAAAGCAAGTCAGGTCCACTCAGACACCTGCAAGCTCATCTTGCAGTTAATTCAAATGCTTGGCAGATTCCATTTCTTGAGCTGTACTTCCAAGAATAGACTGCCAACAGCTAATACTGATCAGCTGATTTCTTGCCCATTTGGCTTTTACACTTGGACCTTTGGCTTGTCCTGGAACATGTTTCTTGAATAGAGTCCAATGAGGATGTGACCTCACTAAGTTTAGCATTTAATCAATCCCTACATCAGCAGGTTTACAACCCAAAATTGACAATCCAGAGTGATATCTAAGTCCCTGACTGTGCAAATCCTATTTAAGGCCTTAATAGCACTACTATCTCCTGGGCTCTGAATCAGAAAGAAAAAGTGTCTGACCCACAGGGAGTCTCCCTTTCTTCCTTGTATAGTATATCCTTTAGGGCAGCAGAGATGGTGTTTTGTCACTTTTTTTTTTCCAGTACCAGGGATCAAACTCAGGACCTTTCGAGGCAGGTGTGGTGCCACTGAGCTAAGTCCCCAGCCCAATGGTGTATACACTGCATGTGCATGACACTTTCTCTCTTAATTCCCTTATAATACCTTCACATAATATACGAAAATATATAAAGAGTACATTGTCCATGAAAATTTTTTCCTTGAGTGCGTGTGTGTGTGTGTGTGTGTGTGTGTGCGTGTGTGTATAACTGCTAGGAACTGAATACAGGGCATTGTGCATGCCAAGCATATATTCTACCACTGAGCTACACCCCCAGCCTGAAAATTGTTTTATTTTCCATTTTATTGTCTATACCCATACCACTTTGCACCATAGGGATTACAGTAAATTATTATTCCAAATCTTGATTCTTTGCAGTTCACTTTTTTTTTTGGTACTGGGGATCAAGCTCAGGACCTTGTGCTTGTGAGACAGGTACGGTGCCACTGAGCTAAATCCCCGGCCCTGCAGTTCACTTTTATCCAAAGAATTTGTACAAGTGTGATGTTTAGTTAAGGTAACAACAATCTGTAAATAGTTGTACAGATGATAGGTAAAACTTAAGTACAGTGTTCAGAATCTCATTTGATCGTTGGATGGCACTTTCCAGTATGGTAAAACATTACAATTTATGTTTGAAATATAAATCAAAATCTCTACAAAATGCCTTTTAACACCTTCCAGTTTGGCAAAAATTTTTAAAAAGTCAGACAGCATCAAATATTAGATAGGATTTATAACAACTGGAACCTTTATTCGATATTGATGGGAAAGTAAATCACTGCAACCACCTTGGAAAACAATCCGGCATTGTCTCTTAAAACTGATGTGCCTTTGATTTTGCACAAGTGTTCCAGGAACAAGATCAGTGATATCCATAGAAGCTCTATTGACATAGCCAAAAGGTAGAACTAACCCAAATGTCCATCAGGAGACATTTAAGTGAGGTGTCATACAGTCATACAATGTTGTATAGAAAAATGAAGCGAAGGCTGGTGGCTCAAATAATAAATTTGAGTTTGCTTTTGTACTGGAGCAATATATGAAGAGTTTAGTGAGGTTTGGTTCAAACTGAAAACATTGGCGTAAAGTCGTCAGATGGATAAACTTCAGAACATAATCTGGAGAGAAATGCATACATACATGATTCCATTTATATAAAGTCAAAGGCAGGAAAAATAAAATAATATCTGTGTAGAGATACAAACATCTGTGGTAAAACAAAGTGAATAATGATCACAAAATTCACTGTGATGATGACTTCCTGAGAAAGGGGATGATGGGTAGTACTGGAGACCTTGAAAGTCATTGTCATCCCTTCTTTTCTACTGGGTAGTGCAGTCATGTTATGTATCGCTCTTAGTTTAGTTCACATATGTTTTATAGATATCATAGTTTCATATTTCATAAAAGCAAAAAATTTTAAACCTTCTGTATGTAGTACCACCACCTGTTAGCACCTCTTATATTAACATTCACATTATAGTCAGACTATAATTACTGACTTTTAGATTATCACTGCTCAATGCGTTGGTCTTTTATTATATTATCTGTAGTAGGCAGCCTGTAAAAATAGTCCCCAGTGGTCTCTGCCTCTTTTTTTCTTTTTTTTTTTGGTCTCTGCCTCTTGATGTTCGTGTCCCTAGCTGGGTACCCCTCTCCCCTGGCATTTGCAGCTCGCTTGGGACAAATAGAATAGGGTAAAATTGGTACAGTGTAACCTCAGAGATTAGTTTACAAAAAGACTGGTCTCTGTCTTGAGTACTCTCTCTCTCTCTCTCACCCACTTGCTCTAAGGAAAACCAGAGCTGGTTTGTAAGCTGCCCTATAGAAAAACTATGTGTTGAGGAACTGACGCTTTTAGTTATTATGGACTAAATGTGCTCCAGTTCATATGTTGAAATTCTAATCTCTAATTTATTAATAACTAGAACTTGAGCCTTTAAGAGATAATTAGCTTTAGATGAGATCCATGAGGATGAGGCCCCAGGATGGAATTAGTGTCCTTCTAAGAAGAGGAAGAGGTACCAGGTCTCCCTCTCTTCTGCCCTCCCCTCATTCTCTCACTCTCTTGCAAGAGAGCAAGAAAGCAGCTGTCTGCAAGCAAGAAGAGTCCTCACCAGGACAGATCTGCTGGCAGATCTCTGAGTTCCTGGCCTCCAGAACTGTAAGAAATAAATGCCTGTTATTTATGCCATCCAGGCTATGGAATTTTGTTATAGCAGCCTTCCTTAGTCAGCTTTCTATTACTCTAACAAATATCTGAGATAACCAACTTATGAAAAGAAAAAATTTATTTTGGCTCATGGTTTCAGAGACTGAGTTCAGTCCATGATTCGCCAGCGGTGTCGCCTTGGGCCTATGGCAGGACAGCACATCATGCCAGGAGCGTGTGGTGGAGCAAAAGTGCTCACCATCTCAGCCAGGGAGTAAAACAGAGAGAGAAAGGGGCTGGGATCCAACGGTTCCCTTTAATGAATGCTGCATGCCCACTGTGATCTGAAGACCTCTCAGTAGGCCCCACATCTCAAAGGTTCTGCCATCTCCTAATATTGCCAAGCTGAGGACCAGACCTTTAGCATACAGGCCTTTGGTGGACATTTAAGACCCAAGCTGACTAATGCACTAGTGAATAGCAGGCAAGGACCAGAGGCCTGCCAACAGCCACCTGAGTAAGCTTAGAAGCAGATCACCCTCCAACTGAGCCTTCACTGATTGTACCCCAAGTCAAACCTTGGGGTACGCATGCCTATAATCCCAGCACTCTAGGAGCCTGAGGCAGGAGGACTGCAAGTTCAAACCCATCCTGGGCAGCTTAGTGACTTAGCAAGATCCTGTCTCTCAAAATAAAAACTAAAAAGGGGTAGGAGTGTAGCTAAGTGCAAAGGCTCTGAGTCCAAGCCCCAGTGCCATAAAAAAGAAAAAAAAAGACTTTATCCCTGTACCTCAGCCAACACCTTGATTAGATGCTTGTGAGAGACTTTGAGTCAAAGATACACAACTAAACCACAGAAATTCTTAATCTACAGAAATTCTTTGGTAATAAATATTTGTTACTTGTTAAATATGGGGGGGGGGTTGTAAAACCATATTTGGGGTTTTTGTTATTGTTGG